AATTCAATCATCTAAATCTTCTGCTTCACAAGGAATTTTAAAGCAATTCAAATTGGAGTTTAAAGTAGAGTTTAAGAGCTTTCCAATGACAGGTCATATGCCCAATGTTTTTGAGTTGTCCTGGTGGAAGCGAGGAGCACTCGCTCCTCCAAAAAGGAGCCGACCTTTCATCTTGTAATCCTAGAGCTGTAATTTAAGAACTCTAAGTTTGTTTGTAATGCCCTATATATAGGGTTAAGCTTTGTTGTTTTGAAGGAACTTTTGCTTAATTTTGAAATAAATGAGATTCTCTCTCCGTAGTCTTGGTGATTATTCACTATCTTTGTGATTGCTTTTTTGTAATATTTGTGGTTACACCTTAATCCTAGCTTTACTTGGTGTTGGCTTTGATTAAGAACCCCTATTTTATAGGTCTTGGTGATTTTTTAGATTGATTTATCTTGTGTTGTTGCATTAGTATTGTTTCTAGTTGATATTCCTCTCTTTTCCATGGTTATTTCATATCAGAAGGCTTGCGACATAATCTTTTGAGTATTTCTCAACTATGTGACAAAGGTAATAAAGTTTCTTTTCAAGCCAACCTTTTTTGCATAGTTAATGCACAAACAAATGAACTTGTATGTCAGGGAACCAGACACAACAATGTGTATATCACTATTTGAATCAGATCCCTAAGAACAAGTCCATTTGTTAGCGAGCTGTTTCTAAAAATGACTAGTGGATTTGGCATAAAAGATTAGCCATGTTAGCCTTAGATTTCTCAACAAACTCAGATCTCAAGGCTTGGTGATTAGGTTACCAGACATCAAGTATGAGGCTAACAAGATTTGTGAGGAATGTGCTAGGGGGAAACGGGTCAAGTCATCTTTTAAGCTAAAGAAAGTTTAAGTATTAGTAGACCTTCCGAACGAAATGGTCACAGATATGTGTGTGTACTTGTTAAGATTCACTTGGAATTTATTCTTGTCACCTAAGGATGAAACCTTTGATGAGTTTGTTGTTTTAGTGAAACAGGTCCAAAATAAGATTTATCTCAAGTTAAAGGGAAATTTAAACTAAATTAACTTTAAAAGTTTGAATATTTTGGGATTTAGAGAAGGAAACGTTTCCCACCAAAGATTTGGAGATATAATTTGATTTTAGAATCTAGTCCCTTCTTTCTCTCCTAGTCTTCTTAATCACATACTCCTTACTTTATAAAAAATTTCTTAAGAGATTTTGCTTATGTCAATGTGTCAAGGCAAATGTTGCACATAATAACGGAGATAGTATTAATTTTACTCAAACTTTGGTAGCACACATTTTTCTTTAACGGGTAGATGCTATATGGTACCTCCATTTTTTATTATGTGCAACATTTGACTACAATGGGTGCTACACATTATTTGTTACACATTTTATTTTTCCTTTTTAGTAAGTTTTTTTTAATGAAATTACTATAATACCCCCATTAAGAATTGATAACATTCCACAAGTCGCTAACTCATTTAATTAGGTTACTTAACCCATTGATTAATCACCCCCTCTCTCCTCCTTCTACCCTCTTTTAGTCCCCTCTCTGCTTCTACTTACAAGTTACAACCACCACCGCCATCATTAACGACCACCAGCACTAGACCACTTCGACCACTAACACCAAACCAAGTTGACCACCTACACCAGACCATTCGACCACCAATACCGCCAACACTTCGTTCTTGAACCACCAGGCCCTATCTTTCTCTCTTCTACATCTACCTAAAACCGCAACCGCCAGATCTAAAATTTTCATCATCGTCTTCTGCTATAATACCTCGTATTTTTATACATTTATTAATTTAAAGTATTATTTTATGACGTATTTAAATAATTTGAAATGAATTATTTATAACATTTTAATATTTAAAAAGGCGTATTTTAATTGAAAATCCAATAATTATTTATTTATATAGTTTCAAAAATATTTTATTTTATTATTTCAAAACTTTGGGGCATATTTGAATTATAAAAGAATTTTAAATAAAGTCAAATGACTATCTTGAATAGAAGTGGGAATCATTAAGGGCAAAAAGGGAAAGTTAAAGTTAGGAGGGTTTTGAGAGGGGGTATAAATACCCATCTATGAGCAAATTTAGACTTTGCCTAAGGTGGAGACTACCCAAAGGTAAACCCTCTCTCTCTCCCTCCTCTTATTTTTGTTTTCCTTAATTTTTCCCCTCTTCCCTTTTGCTCACAATTCACGACACACAAACACACGCGCGACCACCGCAAGGTGGCCGGCTGTCACCACCACCACCGGCCGGCCACCACAAGCACTCGTCGGCGTCAGTAGCCGTGGGGAGGTGGCACAATCGTCCTCCCTTCCCCCTCCTTGTGCGTGTGGTTTGAACAAAAAAAAAATATCTTGTTTTATAATTTAATTAGCTTTGATTAATTATTGTTTTGGGTGTGTGTGATGATTTTATGATGTTTCTATAATGATTAATATACATATAATTTTCAGATTTGGTTTTGTATTAAAAAGCCCCAAATTTATTAAACCCCTAGGTTTCTAAATTGATGTTTATTGAAGGAATTTAATTGTGGTTGATTCAAACCATAAAAATTAATGTCTTTAAACTAAATTACAGCAAGTTTAAGAGTTTTTATAATGCTGGAATTTTTATGTAGATGCTAGAATAAAGTGTTCTTGAAAGGATTTTAACTACCCAATTAAATGGGAATAAAAGTAGGTGGTTTAATTAATTTTTAGCATGTTTTAGAAGGTTTAAAAGTGTTTTAAAGAGTGTATATATTGCTGGAAATTTAATATGAATAGGTATTAATGTCTGATCTCTTGGTATTTGTGGGTTGTAAGAGACTTCCAAGTGAGTGATTTCGCGTAGTTTTGGCGATCTTGAGATCGTATTCGAGGTACGTTCGCGTACTCGGTAATTATTTAAGTGTGTAGAAGCATGCTATGACTTGTTTCTTTCATTCCAAGTTAGTATCATGATAGGTATTGATTGGAATTGTCGGTTGGATTGATTTTGATGATTGGTTTGTGAAGTATGAATTATTTGAGGTGAATTATTGATGGAAAATTATGATGTTGAATTTTGGTTATGGACTACGCTTTTATTATTGGTTTGATTGAAGGCATGTCTAATTAAACTATATGCTTAATTTGGTTTGGAATATAAAAAGGGAATTTTATTATGGTTCATATAATTTTTATTGATGATTTAAGCATGGGATTGGAGCTATTAAGTGTCGCAGTACACAGGAATAAAATGAAATGCGGTGTCTGTGCACTTAAGGTGTTCTAAACACCGAGAGATAGGATTTGCGGTGCATTATGCGCTTAAGGTGTTTATTTAATGCCAAGGTAGTTTTAAAAAGGATTCAACAATTAATTATTTGTGATCACTAATTATTCAAGAATTAAATTGGAATGTGTGATTACTTGAATGAATTTTATGGATTGATTGTGTTGTAAATTGAGAGTCATCACCAAGTCTAAAATGTAAACAACGTAAAGCGAAAGAGATTGCAAACCAAAACTCTTAGAAGGTATATACCTCGAGTATGAACATATAGGGGGAGTTATGTGACTTTATATTTGATCATAACTTCTACTAGAAGTACCAAACTTTGTATTTTCCTTTTTGTTTTATGCGTAGGACGTCCGTCACCCATAAGTGACATTTATGCCTACCCGGTTAGTTCCCGGAGTAGTTTACCTCAATTTATTTGGGGCAGGGATATGGTGGGAAACCCGTTCGATGCGTAATCATATTAAATAAGCAATTTGATTATCTATTGATTGAGTTGTATGTTGTATGCTTGTAAACAGGTGCAACAAGGTAAGTTGTGTTATGCTAGGATGTAAGCATGTTAATGTATTTCGTTTACACTTATGTACTCAGCATTGCTGATTGTGTATTATATGTTTGTTTGGCCTTGTCTTTATCTTGTCCCTACGACGATCCATTTCTAACGGCGAGTAGTGGGGACAAAGTAAAGAGAAACCTTTCAGGTGTAAAAGCATATTCATGATGGGCATGAGTGAAGAGCGAATTTGTTTAGTTTCTATAAGAATATGATATGTTTTATTTGCTTTAATTATTATATATTTGCTTGTGTGACTAACGCAATTATTTTTAAATATTTGGTTTTGAGTTTGAAAAGGGCCTACAATAGTTCCAAGTTGTAGGTTGACTTCGTTTGACTTTGTTTGAATTTACTTTCGTTTGGTTTGACTTTTAAAGTTGGTTTGCTTTGAATGATTTTGAAATAATTCTTCCGCTGTGTGTCTTTAATATTTGTCTTATCTGTTATCACGGTGGCGGTAATGTCTTAGAATTTCCTATTTCGTATTTTAAAAAGGACAAAACAGGTATTTTAAAAGGAAGGATTTTCTAGGGTGTTACATCTTCGATCTTCATCTTCAATCTTCGTCATGACTTCGACTTCAATCTTCTTTTTCTTTGCCTTTGTCTTCGATTGACCTACAACCTCTTCATCTTCTTCGATCTGGGTTTTTTTTTTTACTGATTATTCTTTATTTGAGTTTGATCAACTCTTTTTTTTTTAAATAAGTTTCGATCTGGTAGTTTTTTTCTTTTTGGTGGTTGCTACTGTTGACAACATTGGTAATTGGCAAAACACCAAAACTAATGTCAGGAGTGGTGGCGGTAGCAGGAATGGTGTTGGCAATGGTGTATTTTGGGGTGGGATGGTGGTGTTTTCATTCTCATAATTTTCTTAATTATTTGTCTCTTACCTTAATTAATTCCCTTAAATGATTTGCCTTGGGAAATACTAAGTTTATTGTACATAATAAAAAACAGGGTAGTATAAAAAAAAATAGTCTTTACACCAAACAATACAATGATTTTCACACTCTAAAATTGAATGTTACGCTCCCACATCTAATTATGGGGGTACATTTTCCAATATCCCTCTCGCTCTATGCTCTGGTCGCCTAAAACATGGACTTGCTGTTATAGGAGATGCAAAGTCAATAGTCACCACATACATTGGGAAGCAAATTGAGTCATTGCTTGAGAAATTGTTACTGTATATAATCAGCAAAAGAGCCTGTTTCATTGTTTCTTCATTCCATTTACAAAAAACAAAAGCAAGGGGCCATAGAATGAGAACTTAAGATAATACTCCTAAACATAACTATACCGAGGCCCTCTTAGCCTATGTACTCAAAAGGATCCATAAGGAGTTCATGAAATATACAATAGCAAAAGTCCGCCAAATGAATGCTTGAATCAACTGACAATGGCATCTCTAATGTTTCATATCAAAAGACAGCAACCCTTGCAAGAGGACTTTCGCTGCGTTGAGTATTGTAAAAAAATGGTCAGCAATCTGCACGTAAGCAAAGGATTCATCAAGCCTGGATAGTCATTTAGAGACCCTGAACTCAGTACAATCGGAGTAAATTGAAAACAATGCAACAAAGAAAAGAATGTGCATACCTAAAGGTGTAAGATTCTCTGCCTTCCTGTCAAGATACTGAAAACTGGTCACTGTCATAATGCTAATACTATACCAAAATGTACACTGGTAAAGGTACGATAATTCCCCGTTTGTGCTCCTCGTTTGATGATTTGCTTCTCAGACTCGGTCATATAAGGGGGTCAAAAAGGACAAAAGAAGAAAATGAAGATAGAACTGCAAACTACAACATACTAACTGCACAGTCTATGAACAAGGCGTGAATGAGCTATGATGGCCTTTAAATCTGCCAACTAAAATTTATACAATGGCATATCTACTTTCACCTTGAGATCTCTCTTCATCTAAGATTTTGTTGGACCAACCTGCAAAAGTTTTGAATGGATTAGATGCAAAAAATATATTCGACCACATAAACGGAGATGTAAGTTAAGATCAACTCTCAGAGGAAAGGCATTTTTGCATGCACTCGATATACGTTTTTATACTCATATGACACATCAAGAGGTAGAAGGATATGGAGATGGCTCATATGGTGGATGAATAATTTGTGTGAAGTATGGAGAGGCAGGAAGCTTAAGTCAAAAAGATATTTAGAATCCTATCAAATAAGGGCCACAGTTCTTAATCCTTCCAAAATTAATACAGAGTAGGTCACTTGCTAAATTTAGTATGTCAATTTTTGAACTTCCTCATAGCACCCTTAACTCCACAAAATTACTACATTGGTAAAGTGAAGATGTAAAAATTTAAAGTATGGACTGTTAAATTGTTTTGGTTAACTCTATACAAAAATAAAGTTTAAGTGGTTGATTATTTGTCAAAAAAGGGAATTAATAAAAATGAAATCAGATTATACTGGCCAAGTTTTATCAGGATGAGCAAGAAATCCATTTTTCCACAAAATCAATGAAAAGCTACTATATATGAGGCACGTCACAGCCAACTAACTTTAATTATGATTGGTTCAAGATTTATATCAAGGCAACCTTAAACTTAAGTAATGTTATGCAGTATTACCTTAGCAATGCCACTGCCATGAAATACACCAGCAACACAGCTCTCACCAGCAGCAGAGCTCAGATTACACGAGGACTCAGAAGTGACCTGTGCGACCCTAGTGCACACTACTAATGAATTAGACTCAGAACACTTGGTAGATTTTGTAAGCAACTCAGCTCCAGCAGTAAGGTCCCCAGTATTGGAGCCCAAATCATGAGCTTTACTTGTCTCAACTTCAGAGCATTTTATCTCTGACACCTGACCACCTGCCGGAAAACCTGACAGCCCTGTTTCACCATCTAGATTTTGGCTGCTACAACAGTTAGTCACTTCCAAAAGGTTATCATCTGCTTGCTTTGTCATATGGTCAATTGGTTTTTGCCCATCTAGTCTGGAAATTGGGGCTCCGACACTTCTCGAATTGGAAGGCAAACTGTCATCGTCCTCCAAGAACTTTCCCTCTAAATTCAAGTCATATTTAAGAGCCTTTTCCTCAGAACTTCTGACAGAAGTAGAATCCCCATTTTGATCATCGTCACTTTCAACAGTACAGCACTCCTTGACATTAGTAAGACCAGAAGAATTTGAGGTACTTTTTGCTACCTCGTCAAAGTTCATAGTATCAGGACCATGACAGCCATGACTTTTCTCATCAGAAAAAGACTCATTTTCCGCCATCAAATTCAAGTCGGGATGCAGGGTCCTAAGCTCAGAAGAATTCATGACAATATCAGATGCCCCAGTTCGACCATCATCATTTTTATCATCTCCATAATTCATTCTTCTTTTTACATTATCTTCACAGTTCTCAGCATCAGAATCAGGATGAACCAGACATTTTTCATCAGACGAAGAGTCAGGGGCATTAGGAGCAACACAATTCAAGTCGAATTTACCGTTTAAACAGCCATCATCAATTTCAGGCTTATCAGCATCAGTTTTAACAGCAGGACAGTCTATCTGGTAATTCTGAGATACACCAGAATCCGCATCTTTCTCTGATAAATAAATAAAATCAATTTGATAATAGAGATCACGATTTTTTAGAAAAAGCATCTACAAAATTAAGAAATATCCTACAAACTAGATATAATGAAAAAAATATACAAACCTATAAAGGATGTGCTTTTCTCACCAAACTGTTGTTTTACAATCGGTTTTTGCAGCATATCAGTATGAGCAAATACCAACATATTCTTTGATCTCATTTCTTCTCTTACAGATTCTTCTAAAGGGTTGAAACCAAATACTAAAGTCCACGTATTCATAAGTTCAGTAATAGCAGGGATGACCAGGTTCTCAATCTCTAGAGTGCCAAGAGCCTGAAGACAATAAAGATCATTAAAAATTTGAGATACAAGAGTATTGCAATGCAAGGTTTTAAGACATGCTAAAACAACACTACAATATCCTCTATTGCATATCTTCAAAAAATATACTACAAATATCACCAACCATTAATAAACCAAGAAAATGAAGGGCATGTAAAAAAACACTACTAGTCTGCTCTATGCTCGTTCACCAGCAGGATTGATCAGCCTTCAGTACGAACAAAGTCCCCACAGCCTCAACAGTCACTATAAGATTTTACCAGAAACCTAGATCTTCGCATATTTTCTTATAGTATCACAACGCCTAGCCAAGAAACACAGGCAATCCCCCATTACTCCAAATTCCAATACTTCCTCTGTTCTAGTAATATACCATCATGGGGGTGGGGAGGACAATATTCTTGGTAGTGGGAAAAAGGAAGAGAGAAAGGAAAAAATACAAAATTGCTTCTGTGATTGTAAACATAAACTAAAGAGACAAGTGTTAACAAGGGTATATTGGGTATTTGCAATGTGAACAGACACATTTGTTTTCCTATTATTGGTATGGTGCAATATTTGTGAAACTTCCTTACAAGCCAAGTGGTGTAATAATAACAAAACAAAAGAAGTACTCCGTACATGAAGAACCATAGGTGGACATAAGTTATAAATAATCTCCTAGTTATTAAGTAACATGGATTATACGTCAACTCGATCAAGTGAATATGTGAGAGTGGTCGAGAGCATGATAGTAGCATTTCCCTTAAACAAATGGAAATGAAGTGGATTTCTTGATGTTAATTTCACAATGCTTCCAAGTTCCAGTTTCCAAAGCTTTTTAGATTTACCCCACAAATTATAGGAAGGCCGTCAAGAGAAATGAAAATAATATTGGACAATTTGTATGCATTTAAACCAATTTAAAGCTCAATAAAATTCAGCAAAACACGTATCATCACCGAGGTGGTCAACAATCACATTAAAAATAAGAACTCTCAAAAAGACAATGATTAAACAAATGTGGCAACATGAGGCATTGGAGGTGGTCAACACACCTGTCCAATAGCAGCAAGTAGACGTCTGCACATTCCTTTGCGCCTGTAAACATTGCGTGTGCCAATGAATGGCATTTCTGCTAGCTGCTTCCCACGAATTCTGCTCAACACAATTAAAAAAAAAAAAAAAAAGGCAATAGTTGGTATTTGGGTTTGAACAGTATATATTTAGGTGAGCTGTGGAAAACTAAGGCTTCGCAGAAAATATATCTTAGAAAAATAAGATTGTCATCACTACAGCAAGATACAAAATGCACCTTGACATCCAAAATTAAACTTGTGAAGTTTTTTACTTTACTCATAATTTTGTAAGAAGCACATGCCAACAAAAGAGAGCCTATTCTACCACCTACTCAAAAACTGAACCAAACATCACTCATTTAAATAGGATTCTGGCCAGCTAGATATGTGCATCTAAACTCCAGCCATAATTAAGAGGCTGTTTCCAACAGATCCTAAATGCAAAACAGCAGCCAATCACAAATTGAGGGATGAAAGGGGGGGGGTAGATAGCTAGGAAGTTCGCAATCTTATACAATAGAAATCTCATGATACAGCATACAAGATGGATATGGTAACCCAGCCATACACAATCTTACTTTACAAAAAGGAAACAGTCTGATATTGCGTTTGAATACAATGTTCCTCTTAAATACATATAAATTGTAAGAAAATCAAGACTTTATTCCATTTCATAAATCAAATCTTCCAATAATGGAAATTTTTAAATGGAAAACACAAGCTCCCTTCCGTCCCCTCCCTCTACGTACAACATGCAATCCAAATACATTGTAAAAGAAGCAAATCAGTAAGGAGAGAATAGTAACATAGGTATTGAGGGTCCAATGCAAAACCATTCAAGGTATGGAAAGGGCAGGGAGAATCAAAGGATGCACACTTAAGACTAACCTCTTTTTATATTCAGATTTCTGATTTTTAGGATTCCTAGCAAATCATAGTTAAACAAATAATATTAAACATCTACCTTCTTAATACAGAGTATATGCTCCCAGTTATTCTTGGATACACTCAAATAAAGTGAAGCCGAATTTCAATTACAGCACTTTAGACAATGTTTCTAGACATCACTGCACTTTGGTTGAATTTAAAATAGAGGACTTGATTTTATAAAAGTATACCAAAACCTTGGAAATCAGCACACACAGCACAACAAATCATAGCTAATAGACACAAGTATAGCAAATACTTCACTTAAACACCCACAACCAGCAGTAATCACACATCTTTCAATAACAAAGGAAATGTTCAGAACTGTTTGGACACCTTGCTTCACATCGTCTTAAACATCCACATCAATTTCATTTTTGCCTAAACCTCTAATGCCCGTTGCATAAACCAACTAAGAGATAAACTAGAATTCAAAATCTAGAAGTTAGTACAAAAGACAGCTCATTTTCAATATTTGGAATATTTGGAAATTCCAGCAAAAGGGAAAAGATCATATTATAAATTTTTAAATACAATTCAAGGGAAAGAGCAGATTAAAAAAAAATCTAAAAAATAAAAAATAAATTAAAAAAAAGACGTAAAGTAAGGGCAAGGATATAGAAAGGGTGGTTCCACTAAATCAAATCAGTTACAACTTACAAGACTTGCAACTTCCAAGTACATCAAATTGCTCATCCAAACAAGAAAACTCCATCCATTGTCATGCTATCTCATAACTTTTCCCCAATTCAGACAATCTCAGTACCAAGATTTAACCAGTAATGAAAACCACCCTTATAAATAACCAAGGATGATTGTTGGTCATACTGGGCAGTAGACAAAAACTGTTAAGTAAGAGGGATATGAAAACTTTCTAATATATCTTCGAGAAAACTCAAACTAAATTTTATTAGGGGCATTGGAAGAGGGTTAAAGGATTAAATATCATACTAAAAGAATACCAAGCAGGTGTTAAGGAGGGCTGGCTTCAGGAAGACATCAAACCTCACAGTTACAACTGTTACAAGTTACAAATCCTAAACCAGGAAAGGAAAACACACACAATATTCTTCAATCTATAGAATTGTGCATAATTACTATGTAGCGATTATATATCTCCCTCCTGTATTAATCTTTCTTGTAGATTTTCATTTAGTTGTCGCTATATCTCGTATAATCCATTTAAGTCTATAACATCTCTACTTACCCTCCCCAACCTCTAACAGTTACACATCATTCAAAGTTACCTACCTTGGACCAACTGAATAGACATATAACTATTCAAGACTGCAAAGCAACAATACAAAAAACTAATTTCATAGTTTTGTTTCTCGTTATCAAACTAACTCGAAACGAGGACTTAGTAGATAGTAACTCGAGAAGAACATGCCCAGTGGATATATTTATAAACAGAACTACCTGATGGAAGCTGCGGATATAACTTCATCTCCTTTCTCTAATACAACAGTTAAAAAGCTGCTAAAATTTAATCGGTTAAAATTTGATCTGCATGAAGAGGACCAAAACACATCAGAAAAAGATAGACAAAGAAAAGCTGAGCAAGTGGATTGTATAAAAAAGCCAATGAACTATTAGGCATTAGAATACATAAGAATATAGGCCTCACTAATAAGATTATAAAGGAAATACACAGCTATGAGAAGCAAGACTAGTTGGTTTCAAGATATGTATAACAAGATTAACAACACTGAATATAGCAAATACATAAGAATATAGGCCTCACTAAAGATTGAAAAGTGACAACAAAAGACACTCAGAGTTACAACTGATATATAAATGGGGAAAACACCAGAAACTCACAGATTACCTTAATCAAGAAATTGCAGAATTTACAAGCATATAAGAGGATGACGAGAATGGAACTCTTGCAGAAAAAGAAAACAAAACTGAAGGAAGAAATAACAGTATACACATATGAATAACTTGCATAAAACGATGAACAAGTTCTTACCCGCAGCTATAGATGACATGGCGTATCAAATTGACACCACTTCTGAGGTCAATAATAGGCAAAAAACATTCCTCCATGACAGAGAGAGCCACAGCCAATTTAGAATTGTTTTGAATCTTTTGGGATTCCAAGATAACAGAATCTTCTTTGAAGTCAGACCGTTGAAGTAGAGTCCATGAATATCCATCTCCCAAATCACATTTTACTCCTAGAAGACTCTTTAACCGCTCAGACATCTACACGCAAAAGTAGTAGTTAGAACTATAATGGTTACACAACTAAACAAAACAGAAGTTTAATATAACGAAGGTGTGGAGAGTATAACAAGGCAGAAATCATGAAGTATATTTCCTTAGCAGTCAGCAGATTAACACACAGCCAGCACATGTAAAAGTTAGCCACTTGAAAACCAACTTCTGTAATACTGAAAGACCCTTTTCTAAGTGATAAACCATATATGTATTAAGGTGAGCTGGTGAGATAACGAAAAAAAGGTAATTAATATATGAGAGATCATGTAGAGACCGGTTTAAGGAAGCCTCGGCTTGAGGTGATTATTTTAATCCCTTTCTAAATATGAAATAAAAGATTTCCCTCTGTACCCAAACAAAGTAGCTTATAGTTATTGCACACAGATCAAGGATTTATCAGTCTCATCATGTAAGTAGAAGAGTAATTACTTCACCTCTCTGACTTAAACAAATAGATAAATAGCCAAATTCAGAGTTAATGTAAGCAACATTATATGACCGAAAACAGTAAACCCAAATAACTATTTCATGTTTTGGGGTAAAGATGCTATAAGATATGCTCAGTGTTACATAATACTATAAACTCCCATGTAACGCATTCTGAAAAGTCGAATTATAACACAGCCCAATTTTACAAAATAGGTAGCAAATTACATATCGCATCATAATATAATACTTGCCCTTTTATACCCACAAAGCAGGCAAGATCGAAGATATGGAAGCACTTCATTTGGGGTGTCAGCAAAATCAAAGGAACTAACATATAAAAATAATTGTCAAACCTGTTCACAGTTTCTCCCACAAAAGTCTAGCCTTCGAGATTTGGCAGAGAGATTGTCCTCCTCACTTATACATGATATGTGATCTACAGTGAAAACAGCACAAACTTGTCAATAACAGTTGTTAGCCTGTAATTTACAAGAAAATGAAGCTATTTGGAAAACAGAACAGTGGCAGTTACATTTTTCCTCACAAAAAGTGCAAGTGACCAATTGAGAAGAGACTGTATCACTCTCAACTTCCTCAGTTGCAGTTGCAGATTCACCACCTACACCACAAAATTTGCACGAACAAAAAACACAGTGCCATTCACCCAAAGGTAATTCCTGCAAATGTAAAAGCAGAAGATAATTATAAACTATCAAAAGTAACTATTTTCTAGTCCCCCTACTGTCTGAGGTACCTTTTTTTTTTTTTTTTTTTGAATAAAACTGTCTGAGGTACCTAACATTCACCAACACACTTAAAAACATATACCACATGTCCACATTAGTGCTCAAACATCCAATGTCCGAATCAAAATCAGCAACTGATATATCTCAACACAGCTAGTCCATAATACAGACATTTGCATACGAATAATATAAAATTTGTGATTTAGCGGCAAAAGTCAACTGAAATGCTTACAACAAAAAATATGGATGATATAAGATACTTTTGTTCACCGAAAATATAGTTTCAACGAGATACAGTTTCAATAATTCTATGAGACTTTTATAGAAAAACATCAACACAATCTTGATTAAGGACAAAATCAACATACACTGCAGTCTTCACGTAACAAAAGCTGATAGCCTCCAAACAGAATATAGCACATATCTTAATTAGCCATATAACAGCCTGTAGAAATCGTTTTTACAGATACTCAGCATAGATTCATTGTGATGCAATCGACAACTATCAGCCAATTCTACAAAGAAAATGTCTAATTCAAACTAAGGAATAATTTTTAATGTTAACACCAGTAACAAAAATGCAAGTGGCAACTATCAGCCAATTTTACAACGAAAATGTCTAATTCAAACTAAGTGAAATGAAATTGACGATCAAAATTTTTCGACATCTAAGAAGAATATGTCCACTTAACAAGAAGCTAGTGCACATTTTATAAAAACGCTCCACTCACCAGGAAAAATCATCTTTAATCTCAACATGTAAGCTAAACAATAATGCCATAATAACCCCTAAGCATATTTAGATTATTGCCTAAGTTGATTATATCTCTAATCTCTATTCACCCACCGATCCAACCCCACACCCTAATTAAATTAGGAGAGGAGAAGGAACAAGAGATATCGACAAAACATACTAGTTAAGAGCACAAAGTCGGAAGCCACAGGGGAAAAAAAGGGATAGTCAATAGCACAAGTACCTCAATATCTAAACAGTCCAGGTGAAATGTTGATGGACAGCCATCACAGCACATCAAGTCCCCGCCATCTCCGCAGATTGCACAGGTATCGTCATTTGGGTCATCAACATTAACATTGACACCATGAAACCCTAAACGACCAGTCTCATCTTGTTTGTTCCAGGAATCCAGCAGACATTGTAATAGTGAAGAGCCACTTTCAAGGTAAATATTCTCATAGGGCTGGCAAAGTTTGCTACCTGCATGGTTCTCAAAATCAGAAACTGAGATTATTTCCTTGCAACAGAAACAATGAATGCCATCTCTTGTAATGCTTCCCTCGAGTACTGATCCAGCTTCATGGTGGTTCTTATAATGCACTTTTCCATCAAGACTAACAGTGCCCAAATCAATCATCCAAGCAAGAACACTATGCTTTCCAGAATGAGCAATAGTTCCATCAATCTCTGAAGTTGAACCCTGATTAGACCTGCGCACCACCAAGGCACACCGCCTCCTACCTTGTGCCCCAACCCGAACTGAGGGTTTCCTTTCTAAAGAAGAATGTTTTTGCTTAGCTCCTGCCTTACGACTTGCAGAACCTTCTTCATCAGAAGTATCACCATCTTGATTATTCTTTTTTTTCTTGTTCTTGTCTGATCTTGTCTTGGATACAACTCTAAACAATTTGCTGAGTACTTCTGCTGGTAATGGATTAAAGGTAAAGTTCTCACCAGCCTTACCCTCTTCAGCTTCTAGCTGAAGTGAATTGTATGCCTTAGTAACTGACCAGTGAGTTTTTTCCTTCACGATTGACATAAACTGCATCCTTATACTCTCTGCCATTCCTGGGTCTATATTCAATTGTCCAGCCTGCACTCAGAAGCATCTCAACTATTTGGTTTCTTATTGCATTTTTCTCACTAGAAAGAGACCCAGCTATTTCAGCCCTCTTGCGCTTTGCAGGTGAATTGTTTTCAGGTAACGGAGTTTCTTCGCCTTTTGAAGATCTTTCAACTGCGTCTTTATCAAGTCCGACAAAATTGACCTTTTTACCTGACCGAACTACCTTCTCAAGAGGTACTCCATCACTAGGCTTCTCTGATACTTTAGGAGGATGACTGTCCCGTCTGCTTCTTCTGACAGGAGCTGTTACAAGAGAAACTTTTAAATCCCTGTCACCCTTCACCTTGCCATTGCCATTTTCATGACAAACAATCTTCACTGCATCAATTTCTGGCTCTTTCTTGGGTCTTCCGCGCTTGCCCTTCTTTTTTGATTTTCTAACTGACCTGTTACTTAAACTCTTGTCTTCAACTTCAGCCGGAGCTTCATCTTCAACTTTAGAAAAGGAGAGTTTCTTCTTCTTTTGAGCTATTTGCTCTTCAGAGTAATCAACGGATCTCTTTGGCCTTCCACTTACGCGCCTCGGTGTCAAAATTCCAACAGATCTGTTGCTTACGTCTCCACCTTCATTTTCAACCTTTATAGGAGCAGCTTTCTCATTCTCAAGGTAATTTGCAAACTTCCTAGGCCGTCCACGTCCATCCTTCTTTTTTGAACTTGCTGAATTGTTGTTCCTCCCAGCTTCATTTTTAACCTTATAAGGAACGACTCTCTCATTTTCAAAGGCATTTGCAGATTTCCTAGGCCGTCCACGTCCATTCTTCTTTTTTGAACTTCTTGCAGATTTATTGTCCAAACCCTCCTCATCAACTTTAGAAACAGACTTGATTTCTTCATCAATCTGATCCACCTCTTTTTCAGGGTGATTTCTGGATAATTTGGGCCTACCACGCTTTCTCTTCCTTTCAGAACTTATAATAAGCTTATTGTTCACGTTTTCATCCTCAGTTTCAGAAACAACTCGAGCATTGTTTGGCTCAACTAACTCCTCCCCAGGGTGATCAGTTGATCTCTTGCTTTTTCTAATACCACATGACTTTTCCAAAGCTGATCTACTACTTTCATCTTCCACTACGACTGCTGCTTCTTTATGGCCATCAGTTATGCTCTTCCTTTTCCTTTGCGAGAATCCAATATTCCTGCCTTCAATTTCCTCTCCCAAACCATTAGCTGGCACAACCCTGGATCTCAAAACTCTAGCAGCAACTTGGACCCTTTCTTGCTTGGCCTCTTTTTTGAATCCTTCACTACCATCAACTTCATCAAACTTGCATTTAATGCCAACAGTAACACTTTCCTTCTCAGGAGATTCCATTTGTGCATCGAGATTTGATTGCATATCCTTGGACAATTTATTATCAGCATCTACATGCTCTTCCATATCCTCAGTCTCGCCGTCACAATTACCATTTATACTTCTAGACCCCTCCACACTCAAAGAACGCACCTTCCCTTCATCATCTTCCGCACCCTTATTCTTATCAATAGCTAAAGCTGCCTCCAAAGCCCGATCATCAGAATCAACAGAACATTTTAACCCCTCCACTCCTGCTTCCTTCTCCTCTCCACCTACATTCTCAGAAAATTCATCAATTTTCTTTTCATCATTGATTGCCCTAGTTGAACGAACCTCCATACTCAAATCAACATCACCTATATGACCTTCTCCACCGTCCACTGCCTCCGCCACCACCACCTCTTCCTCAACTCCAACATCACGGCTGCACTCGAACTCCAGAGTCGCGTATATCTCCCCTCCATCCTCAACTTCCATACCCTTCACCTCATCATCACCAGCACCTTCTTTCTCACACACTACCCCATTCGACTTCCCGTCAGTCTTGCTCACTTCAGAGCCTAATTTCCCCACTTCCTCGCTCAAAACATCATCCGGGTCATCCTCTAAATTCAAATCAGGAATTTTAACCCTTCTGAAATTACCAACACTGTATTCTAAACCAACCTTATCATCCTCCTTCTTCGAACTACTTGACCTCAACCCTTCCCTCATCTCATTCAATCAACAAAAACCCAGAAAATATCACAATACCCAAATTCAAAATTAAGCCCTTAAATTCATTACCACTCCAGAAATCCCAAAATCAATCAACCTTCATAGTTCTACCAACCAGCAAAAGATCACCAAATCTGAACACTTTTCAAATACCCTTATACCCAGATAAAAACTGAAACACCCAAAAAAAAATTTAAGAAATCAAACATACAATAAACCAAAAAAACACAGGAAATCTAATAGCAAAAAGAGATAGAATAAATAAAATCATTACCTCAAGAAGCAGCTTATGAATGCAGTTAAAACCCAGAAATAAAATGCACCAAAAAGTTCCAAGATACTAGAAAAATTCAATCTTTATAAACTTCTCTTCGATTACAAAATGAATTACATCAAATTTGGTTTGGAATTTTGGGGTTTTGGAGAGAGAAAAACAAAGAAAAAGAGTGAGATGAAGGGGTTTTTAATATTTTTTATTTTGGGGAAGTGGGTTTTAAATCAAAAATGGATTCTTTTCCTTTTTTTTCTCCATTTTCTTTTTAAATTTTTTTTTTTTTTTTTTTTTGGGGGGATTCCGGAAATTCAGAAATATGTCTATACTCTATACTATAGTTGAAGTGTGAAGACCAAAGGATTAGAACACTAAAATGGACTGTCTTTCAAAAGTCGTACATAGGACTTAAGAAGAGATTAAGGGGTAATTTGGTCATTTAAAGTAATAAATTTTGCAATTTTCCCTCCAATCTTGTAATTTGGCCAAAATTGGTTTCTCTCTCCTTTAGTCATTGCGTAAAATTGGAATTTTGAAAATGGTGTCAAAATATTTAATGGTTTTTGTGGGGTCCTTTTTGAAGTGTATGACTTGAGATTTTAGAGCCCAATTATAAAGCTTTTTTGGGTTGGCAATTGATAATGCAATCTGTAGGGATTGTGTTTTTTTTTTAGGAATCTGTAGAGATTATGGTGGGTGATAATTTAATCTATATGTTTTTTATTGGCATTTTAAGTACTTTATATTTGACAAAAACACTTTGTTTAGTTAATGTTTTAATAGGTTTCACAAAAAAATAATAATAATGTTTTAATAATAATATAATGATTATCACGGGAAAAGGGCAGTTGGGAATTATATCTGTAGAAATCTGTTAACATAATCAGCTTTGTAAGGAAGGTGGTTAAAACATATAAGTCATTTACTAATATGTCGACATAGGATGTATTCTCTTTATCTTATAAAAATAAGTTTCAAATTTAATAAGGGTGTGGCACCTAATTTGAACTTAACTTATCTTATCTGAACTTACCTGAATTTATTAGACCTTATTAAAACTTATTTTATTTGTAATTTGTACTTAAGTAACCCTTATTAAAACTTATATTTGCGGAACAGAACTTATTTGAACTTAACTAAACTTGAACTTATCTAAACTTGAACTTATCTAAACTTATTACACCTACTTATTACTCCTGAAATAAGTGAAAATAAGGTGAATAAAACAGGCCATAAGTTCAGATAAATTCATATAAGATCAATACATTCAATAAGATCTAATAAGTTCAAATAAGTTTAATAAGGTCTTACAAGTTCAATAAATTCTAATAAGCTCCAATAAGTTCAATCTGAATACATTGAATAAATTTTTTTAAAATAAATATTAAATGTTCTATATCATATTAATTGTACCACTATAGTTTATTTTAGTATAACATTATAAAAATATATTCTTATAGAGAAAATATATTTTTTTACTTTATTCATCATAGCTAAAAATTAGATAGAGTCTATTACATATATGATTTTGGACTATAATAGTTAGTTAGATTTTTTTTATTAACTAGATTAGGTCCGTGCAATGCACGGATTAAAAAAACTATTGAAATGAAATAACTTATTTCTGTTATTTATTACTCCGGACATATTTATGAATTATATCATAAAAACATATCTGTCATCATATATAAATTACATAAGTAACAAAATATAAAAATGAAAGTCGACCAATCTGATCTAATCAAACCATATGCATACGAATTTATATGTCATCTAAGAGTTCGAAATACAAATTAAAAATACTTGTAATTTAAATAAATAGAAGCACCTTGGAAATACAAAACAGTGAAAACATTTACTGACAACATTAGTTCATTTTTGTATAACAAACATCCATATCATTAGTACATGACTTCATAGTTTAGTTGCTTACACAATCCTTGAAAAAAAATACACAAAATAACATTAAACCTTAAAAAGATAAAAATTTTAAAAAAAAATATTCGTAGTTACCAAAAAAATAATAATTATTACATATTTATTTATTGACACAGTTAAAAGATTGAAATGAAAATGATTAAACATAAAAAAACAAAAAATATATATGACATCATAAATGCATTAGGCGGAAATTTTTTTATGAGAAATCGATACAGTTTGGCGAGATGATGATGTCAGCAATTTCTTGTTTTAGTAATAGTTAATAGATTTAACAGATTAAAATAGATTAGTTAGCTAGATTCAAAAGATAACGAAATTAAATGTGTCAAGCCTAGAGACTTGTTCTTCTCATACACACTACTCTACCTCACCACCAACTTAGGGCTTGTTTAGCTCACCTTAATTTTGCTTATCTGAACTTATCTTGTTTGATCTGATTTGATCTTATCTGATATGGTCTGAACTGATCTGATTTGGTGAGATCTCATCTGATTTGATTGTTTGATTTGACCAAACTTTGACCTTAAGTGTACGATAATCTATATAAGTAAAAAATATATCAAGTGGGATCTTGTTAGATTCATAATAATTTGTATTTTATTAATATGTAATTTTCATAATTTTTTTCATTACGAAATTAAAGATATTTATTGTTAGAAAATTATAGTGGGGCGAACCGGATATGTTCTTCTAGGCACGTAACTAAATGCCGATTTCCTAATAGTAATTCACCGACCCCACTTAGAAAAACGGAGTTAACACGGTAATACTATTGAGATATAAAGAAGACCAACTAGGCTTGGTTGTTTTTACAAGACTAGTCTAACAATGGTTTGTGTTTTGTGTTTATCACAAATCTCTTAGAAGATAACTCGAGAATAACTTATAAGAGGGAAACAAGAGTATGACATACTTTTCATGACATACATTTTACAAATGTGGCCTTATCTATTTATAGAGAATTAAAACATACGTTTCCAACAAACATGCATGTCTTTAAAACCTAAGCCTTTAATATCAATTAAAAGGTACTTCCTCCGTTCTAGTAATATTGCAACAACAGGATTTTTGCACTATTCATCATGCTTGTTTGACCACAAATTATGATTTATACGTAAAGTAAAATATAGTCATGTGGGATCTTTTTAGATTCATCTCGTAAATTACTTTCACAAAATCAACTTTTAATAATTTTTACTATTATATAATTAGATATTTAACATATAAAATTTGCTTTGGGATGCGTTATTTCAGCCTTGTTGCAATATTTGTGGAACAGAGGAAGTATGTTTCTAAGAAACAACTTTTAATACCCTATTAAAAGATATGTTTCTTTGACAAAAAGTTTAATATCAAAAGACATCAATATATTTAAGTTACACAACTTTTAACTTAACAAGTACATTAGATAATTATACTATGTCGTTTATGTAACACTCTAGAAATTATTTTCCTTTAAAATACCTGTTTACCCTTTTTAAAACACGAGATAGGAAATTCTAAGGCATTACCACCACCGTGATAACGGCTAAGGCAGTATGAAAGACACACATCGGAAGACTATTTTCAAAATCATTCATAACAAACCAAGTTCAAAAGTCAAACCAAACAAAAGTAAATCAAATCAAAATCAAACGAAGTCAAACTTACAATTTGGAACCATTGTAGGCCATTTCAAAATCAAACGAATATTTAAAACCAATGTGTTAGTATCAACAAGCACTAATAATAATAACAACAATAAATAATAATAATAATACATATTCAAAATAGAATTAGAATAGGATTCACTCTTCGCTCAAATCCCAACATGAATATGCCGTATCACCTGGAAAGCTTCTCTTTAAACTGTCCCTACTACTCACTATAGGAAATAGGTCGTCGTAGGGCCAAGATAAAGACAAGGACAAATACACACAAAACACAACAATCAACAATATTGAGTACAGTTAAGTACATAAGCATAAAAGGAAACACACTAACATGATTGCATCCTAGCAATAACAACAAAACTTACCTTTCGTCAAGAGTTCAACATACAACAATAGACACAACATGGACTCATTACTTTATTTACTTTTATTACACATCGAACGGGTTTCCAACCAAATCCCTGCCCCAAAGAATTTGGGTAAACTACTCCGGGAGCTAACTGGGTTGGCATAGATGTCACATGAAAGTGATGGACATCCTGCGCAAAATAATAATAAAAAGAAAAGTACAGCGTCCTGTACCCCCATAGAAGTCATGGTTAAATATAAAACCCCATAACTCCCGCCATATGTTCATACTCAAGGTATATACGTTCCAAGAATTTAGGTGCGTAACCTCTTTCACTTTACGTTGTTTACACAATCAACCAACATGAATCATTCAAGTAATCAAACATTCCAATTTAATTCTTGAATAATTATTGACCACATTTGATTTAATGTTGAACACTTTTTAAAACTAGCTCGGAGTAAAAACACCGTAAGCGCATAAAACACCGCAAATCTTATCCTCGGTGTATAAACACTTTAAGTGCACTTAGGCATCGCATTTTATTTTATTCCTGTGTACTAAGACACTTAATAGCTCAATTCTCATGCTTATAGTATCAATAAAAATTATATGAACCATAATAAAATTTCATTTTCATATTCCAAACCAAATTAAATATTAAGTTTAATCAAATAAGCCTTTAATCATACCAATAATAAAAGTGTGGTCCATATACCATAATCCAACATCATAATTTTCCATCAATAATTCATCTCAAATAATTCATGCTTCACAACCAATC